AAAGCTATGAAGAAAAATACCTTGACAAAAGGTACATCCACAGGGAGCTCAAAGGACAGGAAACCCTTGAAAAAAGGGAACCCTGACAAGAAACCCTCGACAAAAGGGATGCCTGGCAAGAAACCCTTGAACAAAGGGCTTGGGATTCTGAAGGCTTCAACTCTGAAGAGGCTAGGCAAAATGTCACTGGCCCAAAAGATGCAAAAGATTGCAGAAGATGCCAGCACACCCGAAGAAGGGGCCCTGATGCTGAAGGACTCAGTTTCCAAGCTGGAGAACTCAAAGATTTGGTGCAAACACCAGACTTACCTGAAGAACAACCCCGACGAGAAAGAGAAGTTCGACCAGCTCTCTAAGAAAGAGAAGGGTCACCAGGCAGCCCTTTGGTGCCTCCAACAAAACGTGCCAAAGTTCATGCACATGAGTGAAAGCTTGGAGCAAAGTGCAACCCTTGACAAAAGGGAGCGCTGGGAAACTGAGATGGAAATGTTGACCCGGTTCAGCAGCCAAGAACTAGAGTGCCACTTAGAAAGTGGTCGAGTAGTGTGGCGATATGACCCATGGACCCCTTCATGTGTGCAGTACCAAGACATGCAAGATGTCACAAAGACCACTAGCGTGAAGAGATCCCGGAAAATGACTGAAGGACAAGAGTTGGAGCAGAACGAAGAGACAGAAGACCAGTGGCAGGCCTACAAGTCCAAGGACTTCAACGCCCACATGCTGGAGATTCATGGGTGGGGGGCCAAAGGAAAATCCTTGACAAAAGGAGCTGGGAAAGGTAAATCCTTGTCAAAAGGAAAAGGCAAAGGTGTCAAAAAGGGGGGTCCCTTGCCAATTGAGGATGGTGACCCCGACCCAGAGGAAGAGAAAACCCCAGAACAAGAGTGGCAGTCTTGCTTAGGCAAAGTGAAGAGAGCAAGGGATGCCAGCAACAGCGCTTTGAGTGACCTAGAACAAGCCATGCAGAAGTGCAGCCTTGCCAAAAGGCTAACCAAGACAACGAAGCAGGACGCCGAAAAGATCAGCAAACAGCTACAGCAACAAATTGCACAGCTCAAAAGCGTTTTGTTGAAGAAGGAGCACTCCATGAGCCTGGACAAGGTCAAAGCTTTGCTGCTAAGTTCAGCCAAAAAGATTAAGGAGGTAAAGGAAGAGGCCAAAGACTTCCTCCAGTTGGCCAACAAGGCTACATCCCGGGCAAGCAAATCCTGAAAAGTCCTTGTCAAAAGGATAAGTTGAAGATTTTGCCACAAGCCCTTGCCAAAAGGGTTGCGTGTTGATGCTATTATTCCTTGACAAAAGGAATTCCTGAAATCCCTTGCTAAAAGGGCGAAACATCCCTTGACAAAAGGGTAGTGCTTGGCTGTATAAAAGGGTTGGGTTGTCACTTGCCCCTTTTGGCAAGGGGTGTGCTGCTCACCATTGGCGTAGAAAAGGCGTGCAAAAACGGCTTGCCTTGCGGGGCTGGCTTGGGTTTCGGAGGGTTTTGCTTGAGCTTGGGAGGGCTTGAGGGGCTCTTTGAGGGTTTCTTTTGAAAGGGTTAGGTGAAGGCAAGGCAAGCTTAACCAAGTTGTCCATCCATTTACATTTGGGCTCAAGTTTTGTCAAACCCTTGACAAAAGGGTCATGGAAGAAGAAGCGGAAAGAAAAGTCAAAAGGCTTAGGGGGTGGAAACTGGAACAGGCAAAGTTGGAGGGGAGCCCTTGCGAAAAGGACGCAGAAAATCATTCTGCCCTCTGCACAAGGTTGCTAGAGTTATGGTCCCAGGGCAAGCTCTCTGCATGTCAAGTTGCAGAACTTAGCCATTTGGCTGTGTTAGATGGCTGCGCGTCACAGGAGCTAGTAAGTCTTGCCAAGTGTGGCAATTGGGGAAACAGCAAGGCCAACGCGCACCGAGATCTAGTGGCACTGCACTGCTCAAGCATGAAGCTATGTGAGCCAACCCCTGTCCAAGTGACCTTCTTTGACAGCAAGACCCAAACGCCCTGCGAGCAGGATGCATCTCTGCTTTTGCCACACCTTCTCTTTGCGAGTCTGGAGCAACATTACGGAGACCACTTCGAAGAATTCTTTGCTTGCTCCAGCTGCGAAAGCTTCTGGACGGGAGTAGAGAAAACAAAAGATGAAAGGCTGACCTGGCCAGTAGCCCTTGACAAAAGGGTTGTATGTCCCAAGCAAACAGTGCCGATCTTTGTGCACGGTGACGGGGTGGAGTTTCAAACGAGAGACTCCCTCATGACTTGGTCTTGGGGGCCGATGCTATCAAAGCAGAGCAGCCTATCCTCTCACTTGCTACTGGCGGCACTCCCTAAATCTTGCACGTTGCCAAAGACTTGGGAGCCCTTGTACGAATGGATCCGCTGGTCCTTTGAAGCCTTGTCAAAAGGCTGTCATCCAAGCGAAGACCCGTGGGGAAACCCCTTGCCAAAAGGGCTTGCAGAGCTAGCCGGCCTTCCCTTGACAAAAGGGCACCACAGGGCAGTTATATGGAGCATCCAAGGGGATGCCGAGTTCTTCGCTAACGTGCTGAAGCTTCCTCACTGGCAAAATAAGCACCCCTGCCATGAGTGCGACTGCCAAAAGCCAGTGTATAAAAAAAAAATGCCCTGCTGGCAAATCAGCCAAGATCCTGAAGGAAGCTGAGCAATCCTTTGTCCCGGTCACCCCCGCCCAGGCACTCCTTGCCAAAAGGAGCAGCCACCCCCTGTTCTCCATAGAAGGGGTCTCCACTGCTTTGGTGAGAGGTGATAGCCTTCACATATTGTTTTCAAGGGGCGTTGGGTCTCATTTGGCAGGGTCCCTGCTTCATTTTCTGTGCTACTTCGATGGCGCAAGGAGGCAAGCAGTTCCTCCAGCCCAAAGGCTTCAGCTGATGTTCTCCAGAATTAAGGAGCTATACTGCAAGGATGGCAAGTCAAGACTGACAAACCTACGGCTCAGCATGTTCAGTGACACGAAAAAGCCTCACCAGAAGTTTCCATGCTTGGAAGCCAAAGCCGCCGAGACAAAGCACATTTTGCCTTGCCTCTTGCAGGTGCTGAAAGAAGCTCTCCCTGGTGACCAGCCAATCCACCAGACAATGATTGATTGCTTGGGCAGCTTCAACCAGCTAGTCCAACACTTTGATAGCATCGACCTGTTTCCCACCAGTGAAGAATTTGCCCTGGCCAAAAACCTTGCCAAAAGGTTTTTTGATTCCTACCAAGATTTGAACTCATGGGCCTTGTCAAAAGGCAAGAAGTTGTTCAATATCACCCACAAGTTCCATACCATGATGCATTTGATTGAAAATAGCCAGTTCCTGAATTACAGGATCCACCACAATTACAGGGCAGAAGATTATGTGGGCAAGCTGAGCACCTTGGCTCACTCAGTCAGCTTTGGAGTCAAGGCAGTCAGGCTAAGTGCAAAAGTGGCCGCGAAGTATAGGATCCTTCTACATCTTCAGCTGACCAGGCCAGGCTTTGGCTTTGTTGACGAAGCGCCAGACAACTTGTGCTAGCCCTTGGCAAAAGGGCGCTTGTAGCTCCTTGAGAAAAGGAGAATTGATAAAGCTGCAAGCTCTTGGTCAAAGGTGGCCAGTCTCACCCCGTTTGATAAAATTACATTAGCATTGCGCTGAGAAAAAACAAGAGCTTCAGCTTTCAGTGCATCATGGTTTTCTATTGATTCCCCAATTGATTTGTCCTTCGAAAAGGTGATGTTTTGCTATTGATCAGACTATTGAATCTCTTATTGAGTGGACGTCTGTTAAAATCAACTACAAATTATTGAAAAAAAGTCTCCTTCAATAACACCAGAAAAATATTGATTAGAATCAATAGCCGATGCTCAGGGCATCAGCACATTGAGCAACCTGCGTGACATGCTTGAGCGCTTAGTGTGGACTCCACGTTTGCCTGTCGAGTGAAGCCGAGGGAAGCCGAGTGAAGCCAGACAACATCAGCAGATTGAACAACCTACATAACATGCTTGAGCAGTTGTGCTGCCTGCACGCTGTTGCACTCAAGTGAAGCCAAGGGAAGCCGAGTGAAGCCGGACAACATCGGCAGATTGAACAACCTCCGTGCCACACTTCTGCACTTGCATTTGTAAGTTGCCTGCATGTCCAGGAGCTTCGCTCCAGTTTCGCTTCGCCCAGGTGGTGGTGGTTTCTCCACGGTGCCTCAGGTGTTGGTTCTCCCCCGCCTCGCCTTCCGCACCACGCGCCTGGTGGTTGGTTCAAGCTAGCGCTAATCAACATCGCGGTAGTTTGCTTGCTGCCTGTTTGTTCATGTTGGAGCCGCCCGAAGCATGGTATGCATCATCGAGATCCACATGCCGAGCCACTCGATCTACACGCGCGACATGATGGTGGGCAAGATCGCGATGAGCAGGGAGAACCTGCACTGAGAAGTGCATGAAATTCCTCAACTTTTAGTACCACATTCGAGCTACTGACAAAAAGCGGAATCTGTCTGTGTGCAGCTTGTCGCGACTAGACTACTTGATCGCTAACAACTAACTTGCCTCCATGCTTCCGGGCCACTCGTCCTCTAGTTTCTTATGATTGTTTTTATATTCTGCTGAGATCCCTCCTGTCTGAGGTCATAACAGTAGCTTTTACGCAGAAATGTGACTTGCAAGTTGTTCAAGGCCACGCAATTCGCACGCGCGGAATAAGCGTGATGCTTCCTGTGAGCCATGGTGCAGGCTGCCCCCTAAAACCCTTCTTGCTTCGCTGGAGTAACCAAAAGCTTGAACTTGTTTGCCACGAAACCCGTCTTCCCACAAGGTACCCTTTCTCCAATGGAAGTGGACCTTGGGTCAAAATTAGGTAACCCAAAATGGCTTACCCTGGTAAATGGAAACATGGCGAAACAACGCGGTCCCTGGTGGTTTTGTTTTGACCCATACCCAAGTGGACCTTGGGACCAGTTCTAGTCGATGGGTTTCGTCTTGCACCCTCCTTGTCCACTTGGATCCACTCCAACTTGCGAGAGACTAAGTCCTCGCACCCCTCGCGCAAAGCAAGGCCGCGCACTTGTCGTCCATTCCTGAGCGCGTTCAAGAAAAATCGGGTCAACTTGAGTCACAGTCAAAACCAGTCTGGCCACATAAAGAGTGGGCCCCAAAAAATGGTAATGGTGAGCTCTCTGTTGGTTTCCCTTTAATACCAGGCAAAAGGGGTCCACTATTCTGCGAAGCCCTCATGCTTCAATCAAATAGAAAGGCCGGACCTTCTTGATTGTGCCGGTCCACCAATGGCCTGTTGAATATACTGGCCTAAATACAAGATGAGGCTGTGGGGTACTCTAAAACCAAACTTAATCATGCAGGAGTAAACTGCCACCAAGGGTTTAGCTCGTTGTGTTATCGTTCCATCTCAAAAACTTACCCAAGAGGTGTGTGTGTGTGTGTGTCGAGCACTAGAGAATGTAGTGAAACAAATTGACGGCACCAGCCTGCAAGCCGCTTCCACACCACTGACTCATGCCTTTAATCACAAGTTTGAGGCATCACGGTTTCGCTTGGCAGGCCTTAACAAGAATCATATTGAAGATGTCACATGATTGTGGAAAATACACCCTTGTCGCGATACTGCAATCGGTATTCTACTTTGTTATTTTAATGGGGCCCCCCTTTGTCACAGAAAATAGCCACCGACACCCCAATCTGATAACCATGAAAGGAATAGCTGAGTTGTTTGTGTTTGGCCCAGCCAGCTTGCAATGGTGGAATAGCCGACTTAGCGGCCACCTAAGACCCATTCACAGAGGACAACCAACGAAACTGCCAACCAAAGTGGCAACCAAAGTGGCAAACCAAGGTGGCAACTCAAACCCCCCCAAAAAAAACGAAGTGACTACCAACCTCCAGGGATGCAATGGTGCTTCTCAAAATGTGTTCAGGAGGTTTCGTTTTGCCCTTACCATCCAAAACGGGAATCCCTTCTTGCTTTCTCTGTTGATGTCCTTTTAGGTTTGCTTGGGAAGCCACAAGGAACACCAAAGCCCATTCATGGGGTCCCCTCAAAATGGGGGGTGTCCCTTTCAAGCGCCGCAAACAGGGTATCCTCAAAGAAGACACACCCACCTGATATGTAGAGGCTCTAATAATCAGAATGGAGTAGGGTACTTGAAAACAACATCCATGATAACGGGGGAACACGAGTGAAAATTACGTAGCACTTGTTATTATCTATCTCAACAACTTGCCCAACAAAGAATGAGGGACCCCTAAAGATTGGTGGCGTTCATGTAGTTTCTCCTTACAACCACCCCAAGGGCTTGTTCTGTAGTTTTCCGCAAAAAACCACTCCAAAAAGGCCACCCTCAAGAAGAAACCCACCCCAACTCACTCCCTAATCCAAACTGTTTGTTTTTACCACCAGCATGGTCCAAACCCCAAAAAGTCTGACCACTAGAATGGTCGCAAAAAGACGCTTTTGCCACTAGAATGGTCCAACCCCCAAAAAGAAAACTCAAGTCCCCCCCCCCACCCCACCACCCCCCCCCCCCACACACACCCCACCACACCCCCCCACACTCCACCCCACCACCCCCCCCCCACACTCCACCCCACCACCCCCCCCCCGCCCAGCCCCCATCCACCACCCACCACCCCACGGCCCATCGAGCCCAGCTTCGTGAGCACCTTCGCGAGATCCAGCCCCGCGGCCTGGACCCACCGATAAAACCGAGGAACCGCCGCCAGAAAAACTCGGTGGCGACATCTGCTCCCAAGCCGATTTTAGGTGTTTAGTACCGGAAAACCCACTAGTTGGCAAAAAGTTGAAGTCCTGGCAGCCCTTGGCAAAATGCACCAAAGTAAATCTATTTAACCAGAAAACCGGAGGAAAACCCAGGCCCTTGGGTGAGACATCCTGGAAACTACTTCATATTTTTTTCGCGGGTGTTGTTTGGGTTCATGGTGGGAATGAATGAATGAATAGCCAAAGAAAATTCATGCCGAATGAATGGATGGTGTGCAGCAGGTGATACTCAAGGACAATTCAGGTAACACCCAAGAAAACTCATTTATATTTCTTCAGGCTTGCCTTGGGGAGTGATATGATACATGGTCCTGTTGGGTGAATGGATGCCGAAAGAATAGTTCATATGTCTTTAGGCTTGCTTTGGGTGATACATGGTCCTGGAAATGTTGGGTGAATGGATGCCGCGATGCCAAGAAACTCATTCAGATTTGTTCAGGCCCTTGGGTGATACATGGTCCTTGTTGGGTGAATGGATGCCAAGAAACTCATTCATATTTTGTCAGGCTTGCAGTGACCTGATACATGGTCCTGTTCCTAATTCATATTCTTTGGGGCTTGCCTTGGGTGATACATGGTCCTGGAAATGTTGGGTGAATGGATGCCAAGAAACTCGTTCAGACTGTGTCAGGCCCTTGGGTGATACATGATTCATCCTTGTTAGGTGAATGGATGCCAATAAATTCATTCATATCTTGTCAGGCTTGCAGTGATTTGATATATGGTCCTGTTAGTAATACATATTTTTTCAGGCTTGCCTGGGGTGATACATGGTCCTGGAAATGTTGGGTGAATGGATGCCACGAAACTCATTCAGACTGTTTCAGGCCCTTGGGTGATACATGATCCTTGTTGGGTGAATGGATGCAAAGAAACTCATTCAAATTTCGTCAGGCTTGCAGTGATCTGATACATGGTCCTGTTACTAATTCATATTTTGTCAGGCTTGCCTGGGGTGATACATGGTCCTGGAAATGTTGGGTGAATGGATGCCAAGAAAATCATTCAGACTTTTTCAGGCTCTTGAGTTATACATGGTCCTGTTGGGTGAATGGATGCAAAGAAGCTCATTTGTAGTCCCTCAGGCGTTTGGGTGGTTCATGGTGGGCGTGTTGGGGTCCCGAATCCCCCAGGAACGTTGTTTATGGTGAGACAGACTTACTTGCTGGTGCGAGAGATTCAGGGAATGAGAAATGGAGTGACCCCAAAATAAACCATACCGGTGGTTTCCTTTAAGGGGACCAAAGCCTGGGTTCGTTTCCACACTCCCTTCCTATCGCACCAGCAAAACAACAAACAAACAAACAAACAAACAAACAAACAAACAAGCCCGCACACAAGCAAACAGGCATACAAACAAGAAAATCAACAAACAACCAAGCATACAAACGAGTGACTGCATGAGTGAATTAATGAACGAACGAATAAACAAATGAAATGAAATGATATGATATGAAATGACATTAAATGAGATGAGATGAAATGAACTGAACATGAAATGAACTGAAATGAAATGACTTGAAATGAAATGAATGAAATAATGCATGCATGCATGCATGCATGCATGCATGCATGCATGCATGCATGCATGCATGCATGCATGGATGGATGAATGCATGAATGAATGAATGAATGAATGAATGAATGAATGAATGAATGAATGAATGAATGAATGAATGAATAAATACATAAACACATAAATACATAAACAAGGACATAAAGTATTAATACATCATAATATATCTAATATACACCAACTGCGTGCAACATGTGTTGCTTCAACAAGCAGGTACTGTTTGGGGGCCTTAGCATGCGTATACTAATATCTGTGCAGGTTTACTTGCCCTTGGTGCCAGGGTGTCAAATAGGGGTTTGGAAAAGGAACAACATACAAATCCTCTTTTGGTGTCGTTTGGACCAAACGCATGGCCAATCTAGCGAGCCAAATACTGTAATATGGACAGCCACGATTGTAAAATGACCATAACTCTGCTTCCCTCAAATTGGTGGCTTGGAGTGGTGGTTTGATGCTTCGGGGTGGTTTCCCGTTTACCTTCCACAAGGACAGCGGGTTCAAATCCCCAAACCACCAATCCCAACCACCAATTGGGGCTACCATACTGGTGCTGCGTTTTGGGAAAGCAACATGAAGCAACAACAAAAGAAAAAGCAAATGGCACATTTCTCTCAAACCTGGTGCACTCCATTCAGAATGGGATAAAGAAGGGAAACAAAAGCAGGCGACCCGGAAAAAACATGTGCGCCTCGATTATGGGAAACGCAGACCTTCGCCTTCAAACCTCTGCCCTTCAAACTCTCGCAACTGTGGCTGGCTGAGCGTCGTCGGTGACTAGGACAAAGGCCGAGGTCAAACGCACGAACAAACAAACGCACAAACAATTAACTTCCTGAGTGGATGGCCTAAACAAAGTCCAAACCTTTTGTTTGCTTCTAATGTGGTCCCCCCAAAAATCTTTAAAGTCCATGAACTCAGGAAGTGAGACAAACAATCCTGTGAATCCTGTTGCGCAGTAAGCCAAACTCCAGCAAAGACAAACCCTAGGGATCGGCTGTGACTCTGGCTTTCGCAAGCAGCAAGATATTTGGGCGGTGGGGTGCAGCTATCGGCCTTGGTAACGCGCCAAACATTCAACGGACATGCAATTTCTCACATGGCCCATGTCAAGGCACGTCTGAGTCATCGAAAGCTGGCATGAAAGAAGTCTGCAGCAAACAATGGCAATCCGCACCTATTATTTCATAGCAATGGTACTGATCTACCCAGGTTTTGATCGTGGCTCAATTGGAATTTGTCAATTTAGTTAGGACATCATTCCCGTGCACCCCGGACAACATTTCCGCATCCTCCTCGAACGAAGAATAGACTTCCCGTCTTCTTGTCAGTTTCACATCTGCATTCATGCAAAGGGATCTTCCCTTTTCCACTGGGATGAACAGGGATCCTTACGTCATACACCTGAACATTGCCTTGTAAATGGTGGTATCCCTTTATTTCGGTGTTGAAAAAGCCATGTTTCAGCTGGTTGCAAAATGGAGATCTTTTAAGGAGCCCTGAATGCAATTCCTTTCTGTTGAAATCGGCAGGGGGGGTTCCGGGCCCATCATTCCCATGACCTCGGGATCCCGGCGCTGGTCTCCACACCACCTCGGGCTCGAGGGTTCCAGGACCCGGAGGTCTCGTTACTGCGCACTCCGACTCCCCCGCCGCTCCACAGCCGTCCATTGGCTCGGTGAACGCTGGGCTGTTTTCAAGGGCGACTTGCAAAGGGCGAGGCCTTGAGCGAGTGTTCCTCATGGCCCAAGTCACATGTCGTTTTGGGGTTCTGACTGAACCAAACCCAGCTCCGTATCCCTACATAGTCAGGTGCTGCTCCCATTCCAATCAAACAAATCGGCTAATGCTACCACCATCCATGTTTCCAAGGATAATTTGCAAAGCGGGAGGGTGCTTTCCTGTGCATCGCAGGGCTTAATCGGTCCAGACAAGTTATTTACATCTTTTCCGGGCCCTCTCATGTGATTGGGCAACCATAATTTGCCAGTGTCAACTTGCTTCTACCCTTCAAAACTCAGAAGACGAAAACTGGTTACCTGCCATGGTAACCGCCATTTTGCAAATCGCGGCCCAAAGGTTCGGTGGTTCTCGCTATAGCCGAAGCTCGACATCAACAGTAACTGGGGTTTCTGCCTTAATCGCCTTCCCAAATCCATATGTATATATATAGTTATATATTAAGACATATGTACCTGGAGTCTCCATGACCCTTTAAAAATGGGGTCATTACCCAAAATAATGCAGTCATGGACCCATTTTTAAAGGGTCATGGAGACTCCAGGTAGAGATGTGTTGGTGTTTCTCACTTCACTGGTCTTTCATCAAGTATGTCCAGAAACTGCCGGGGTGAGCGTGTTCTATGAGCCATGAAGCTAGCTGTGTAGATAATGTGTTGGAATAAACCCAGGCGTTTCTCATTCCCTGCCGATTTTGCACCAGCTCTCGAAACACTGCCCAGTTCTCAACGGACTTGCCTGCTACCCTGGCCGAGGCCCGCGTGACTCAACAATAAACCTGGGCCTTGATCCTCCTGAAATCAAAACCCAGCTTCCGCCTTTGACTAAATGCTCGACAAATCGTAGCACTGTTCCCTGAAACTCCTAAAGCCAAAAACAGAAAAGCACACCATTGCAATGCTCGCGGCCTTTGACAGACTAAAGGAAGATTTGCACGGGCAAACGACTTAATGCAGTCCGCAAGTTTGTCAAAACATGCAACGGCGGTTCAAAGTCGTGCGGCGTAGCTTACAAACGTACCCATTTTGACCGCAAAACGCAATTCCCACAAATATCCCGCAAAAACTGGCAAACTCCCGCATATCAGAAAAGGTCGTAGTTTTGATGACCAACGCATCCCGTGGTGTTCACTGGCACATTGGCAAGTGCTGCGAGGTGTATTTACTTTGTACGGCCAATGTGCGACTGGAAACAACGCAATTCGTATGCATTTAGGCCCAAATGCCAAATTGTCGCTAAACCACGAAGTTCGGTAAATCGTAGGGGTCTCCTAAGGCACCCAGAAATTTCCCGCAGTTTGAAGGTAGGTGTGTCTCGTAAAACATATCCTTCTTACCTGACCTCACTTGAGGTGTTCGCTGTCCGCCCCTGAAAAAGCTTAGCCTATGCCCAGAGATTCAAAAGCACAGGTTTTGAATGGATGTCACGCTCTCCCCGGAGAAGCAATCAAGCAAGCGTTGTCAACAAACCAATTACCAGGACTGACATTCCAAACCCCAACATGCCAGGGATGCCCAGGACGAAAGGTGTGTTGATCCTTCTGTCGTTGCGAGTCAGAAAGTTGAGCATCCTAAACTGAATGCTGAAATCCCTCAACAAGAACTCCCAATCCTCCCCCGCCGCTGGTCCCAGAAACAAGCAAAAGCTAGTCGCCGCCATGTCGGAGATGTGCCGTTGCCGTTGCTGTTTCAATCTCCGTCAAGTGTTCCTTCGAGGCTCATGGCAACTGGCTCTGAGACCATTTTTGAGTCATGCTCCACTTACAAGCTGACTTCAAAAGGAGCCCTCCCATCCCCACCCTTAGCTGGAAAGAATGACCACCTCCATAAGAGCAATGGATACAGAGAATGGGATCTGTGAGGTACTTTCAAGCAAACTAGTGATGATCATTGGAGCAACGTGTCGATTTTCACTTAGCCCTTCATATTGCATGCTTTCCATGGCGCTTGTTTGGGGGGCAAGCCTCTTCCATACACTCCTTCGGGCTGGAGATCTCCCTGCCATGAACACTCTAGAGTCTATGTTGCAGCCAAGAACCCTAAACAAAGCAGCACCCTGAAATAAGGGTGTAAAAGCGAACCATGATATGGATCTCCTCGGAAAGAAAAAACAACAACACAAACCCAGGCGGTGTCCCCCACAGCTAGTGTGGGACGGGATCTCGTCCAGTCACAGTATGGGCGTGAATCGTACTGGGGGGACCCTTTCATGGACATCAGAACTCGGCGGGGTTCATGTCCACCAACCACTTGCATTCGGTGATTCCAACTTAAACTTCACGGCCGTATGGCTCTGAATCCTCTAAAAGATGGCTCCCCACATGCCCGAAGAGAATCCGTCCGGGATTGTTGATCAATGCGCGGTTCCCGCATATCGGTGTTATTTTGTTAGGCGCCAAAACATGGTGGTTGTCCTTTTGCTATCTCTTTGTCTCTTAAAAAACCACCCAAAAACTTACTTCCTGATTGGATGCGCCAGAAAAAGTCCCAACTTGTTGTTTCCCACAAGAATGGTCTTCCCCAAAAAATCAAAAAAAAAGGACTCCGCGGTGGGAAACAAAGTTGCCCAGAACCAAAAAAGACGTGCCGCCCATTTTGGGGACAGGGTCTCCAGGACCGAAGCCATCGCTGGCCGGGTCGCCGAGTCACCGAGTCACCGAGTCACCGGCCGTCGGAAGTTCTGAGCGCCGCGCCGTGCCAGGCCCGCAAGTTCACCGCGAAGGCGCTGGACCCCGCCTCGCGGAACTCTCTCTCGGAGCCGGGAGCTCGGGGTCCCCCGTCGCAAGAGTCACTTGCTGAGTCCGTGATTCTACTCGATGACTTGCAAAATCGTTGGCAACGGGTCTACGGGCGGTTAGTTAGTGGCTTTCACTAGCTCATTTCAGTCACATGCTCAAAACCCGGTATTAAAATGGTCTACCTAGAACATGGTAAAGAGTTAAGAAGGCGGAGATCCGCAACTATTTCTGCCTGGGACTGCCCCTTACTAACCTTCATCCACCCGGGTTTTGATTGTGGCTCACAAGAGCTCCAGTTAGACAAACTCTTGTGGCCCAGATGTCACATACTAGGTCCTCCAGTAGAGTGTACGTTGTTGGTTTTTCTCTTTTTTCTGTAGTCTATTTTAGTAGGGGAACCCTCCCCAAAAAAAGGGTAAAAGGGCGCTACTGGGGGACCTAGCTTACAAACCCAAACCCCTGAAAGCTTTCATATGTCTCCGGACGAGTCAGTTCCAATCGCCAAAAGTTGAAAGCCCGGCAGGGGGAAAGTCCTTTGGAGGCGGCATTGCCGCAATGATTGGGGCGAGGTCAGGGGGTTAACCTAAAAACTTAGCGACCCGGAAGCGAGCGACGGCTGGAAGCTAAAAGGCCACCTGGTTTGCAATTCGCCAAACCTCCTACCTGGGAGTTTCCATGACCCTTCAAAAAGGAGGTCATTACCCAAAATCATTGGGTTTTTGACCCATTTTTAAAAGGGTCATGGAGACTCCAGGTACAATCAGACAATGAAAGAGTCCGCGGCGCCATGGTTGCAAAGGAGAACTACTTTCAACTCATTGCCACACTAGTGATGCTAGCTCGCGGCATAGGACAAGAGCTGGTGTGATGCAGTATCACCCATCTCCACTGTGCAACTTGGAAGTCCAAACCCATGTCTTTATCCAGCCAGCTTCCAAATACCTAGAGTCTCCTTCTGAACCATAAAACATGGGTCCATGACCTCTTAATTTGGGCCATGACCCCACTTTTTAAGGATCATGGACACTCCAGGTACTTCCTGCAACCAACATTGAAGTCAAAAAGGAGCTCCCAAAAGGAGATTCCTCAAACCATAATGGCGTTTGGGGTTCCATATGAGCCGTAATCAAAACCTGGTACTAAAATGGTCTACTCAGAAGGCTGCACCCATTTATGGTTGGGATTTTCCCTTGCTAACCTTCATCTCCCCAGGTTTTGATTGTGGCTCAAATTAGATTTCTCACACAGAATGACATCTGCATGGGTAAGGCAAACCTAGTCAAACACACCAGCCGGGGCTCCATGGTCACGCGAGATCTTAAGACGCTCGCATGCTCAGGTGCACCCTAAGGCCGAATTGAGTGGGTCTTCCCGAAACAAACACTCAGATGGCCATGGAAAAAAGGGCATTTCTTTTTGGCTGGAGCCCACGCCAAAAATCAGGCCGTCCCGCTGAGGGGAAGGGCAAAGTATGAATTAAAGGGGAACCCAAATCCCAACAAAAATGGAAAAAAGGAGCGGAATCCACGGGGCAACTGGGAACAGCAACCCTGCCCTTTGGGAGCCATGGAACACTCATAGAAACCAACAGGATTATCTAAAGGAAACTAGCCAAACACCCACCAAGACCAGGCACTTCCTGCAAGCAATCCTGTAGAGTCAATGGCCTTGCTCTAAATACCAACCAAAGCCAGTTTGGTAGAAAAATATACAAAATAATCAAGGGCCGTCTTTGGATCCTCCAAAGACCTGGCAAGCTCAGCATCTTGAGTCGACAATCCCACAGAGATTCACATCTTTGGGGTGTTCTCTGCAAACTTGGGTTCCGTGGTTCAGGTTTGCTGGGTCAAGCAAATCCAGAACCACATTCTCAGAACATGTCTCAAACAAAAAAGTCAAAGAAACACCAAAACACATTCTCAGAGCAAAAGCAGCCTCTTCCTAGTGGTTTCAAGGGAAGCCATTTCTCTCTAAATGGTGAAATTCACATAAACGTGGGCCCCCCATGGTGGTTTCGAGAAGAACCAGGTTCCTAAAGAAACACCTCACGCAGCCACTTTAAGAGACGGATGATCCCAAGAGCAACCCCTACGGGGAAGGTTGAGTGTCCACGGAACAGAAGGAAATGATAAATACCCAATATGCCCATCCAGTATCTGATTTCCTTTTTGGGATGAGTTTGTGTCAATGTTATGTATCCCCGAATAATGTGTTCCTGTTGCTTCCCTTTAAAGCAACCTGCCTGTGGGTTAAAAATAGGTACCCAAAAATGAAACCCTGAGAAATGGACACAAGCACAAACACCTGCTGTCGCCTGGTGGTGACTGATTTTGCCCCATCCCCTGAAAACGGTACCCTCAAGAACAACACGCACGCAAAAAAACTATGTGTGGTTTCTGATGTGGACCCCGGATGGCTTCAACCCCAGGTTATATCTCAGATGCCCAGTGGATGTTCATGGGGAAAAAATCGGCATTCTTGTTTGGGTTGGTTGAGTTTAAAGGAGAAGCCTTCCCCAACAAGAAACGGAAGAAAGGAAGCAGCCCACTTTTTTGGTTGAGTTTAAAGGGGAACCCCAAATCCCAACAACAACAGGAAAAAACAGAGCGGAATCCACTGAACAACTGGGAACAGCAAACCTGCCCTTTGCCAGCCATGGACAATTCATAGAAACCAACAGGATTTTGTAATGGAAACTAGCCAACACCCACCAAGACCAGCGACTTCCTGCAAGCAATCCTGTAGCTTCAATGGTTTTGCTTCTAAGTACTAGGAAAAAAGGGGCACCACTGAACAGGCTGGCGATTCATCCAAGCGGTGGCCGCTCGCCCTGGCCGCCAGGTCCCCACACCTCGTCCGTTTCGCTGGGCCACTGGCAGCACACCTCGGTCTCGGGGCTTTGGCCGAGCGCGGTTTGAGCAATGAGCCCCTGGCCATCGGCCACAATCAAAACCCGGTATGAAAATGGTCGACCCAGAACCATGTTTCAAGAATTAAGCAGGCGGAGATCCGCAGCTATTTCTGGTTGGGGTCGTCCCTTACTAACCTTCATCTACTCGGGTTTTGATTGTGGCTCACCTGAGGAGAACGAAAACACGGTGGTTTGAACTTGAGGTGATTGAACATGCAAAAAGAGAGGGCTGACCCAACCCTGCAAAAATGTGCGGCGCTCTTTGGGTTGTATCGAAGAACCCACAAGGCTCGCAGAAACCCCGTCATGTGTGTCTCTGAAAGGCGGGTCTCAACGTATGATCGTGTGTTTATCGGTGAGCCAAAAGTTGTCACGCCGAGCTGGTCACTTGTGGCAGGGAAAAAAACACAACTAGTGCCCCTGAAAGAATTGTGAAGGGTGAAGCTCCATGTGGTGAGTCGCCCCTGCCACGCGCCCCATTTCCCCCCCGACCTCCACCAACAAACAAACAAACAAACAAACAAACGAACGAACGAACAAACGAACGAGAACACAAACAAACAAACAAACAAACAAACAAACAAACAAACAAACAAACAAACAAATCATCGTCCAGTTTTTTGGTGAAGAGTTGCGCATGCCTCCAATTCTCCAGCCTCGGCCCTTTCAAAGACCGGAGCTTCTGTCTCCTCCAAAATCCTTAGAACATGAACAGTTCGCATCACCCGAAGAAGTTTATACTCCCCCCCCCAACCCTCCCCCCCGAAAAAAAGAGTCTAAGCGAAATGGGTTTCGGACAAGAATTCACGTCACGCTGACTCTCAAGAAGGAATACGCAATGCGTAATGTTTTTTAGTGGACCGATGTTTCCGAGTGGCACGTTTTACAGTGATGAAAAGACAGGTCAAATACGAAATTGATCAATTGGATTCTTGGCCCAAGTCAGGAGTAACAATAATCAACCCTGCTAAAGTTTATTTGTTTGTCTTTTGCTCTAGCTGACGCTGTCTATTTTTGTGCCTGCTTCTTTTGAGGCTAATTGCTTACAACGTCTCTACTCTTGGGGCGCATATATGCAAGCAAGAACCTTAGTTGGTTTGACGCGTATGTTTACACATGTCTGTACTTGGGGGCCAAAAGTTGGCGGGTTTTGCCCAGGACTAAGCCCTCCCTCACCGATTTTTCGTTGGTTCTGACCGCTTCGAGCCACGCCGACAGATCGGATGGATACGATCTGGAACTCATTGGCATTCTGTCGCGCATTGTTCCGACGAAAGCTCCACTGCAGAAGTCTTAATTTGAAAGTCGTCGATCCAGCGCTGCTGCGTTCCCACCAGGCTCTTCAGACGGACGTATTGCTGTCGGCTGTGCCAGTCGGGCAGGGGCAGCCCCAAACAACACGAATAGGCTTTAAAGGCTTGCACTGGCAAGGCTTTGCTGCACTTTTGTTTTATCTCTTCCCTCTTGCTCCGCGTATTGCGAAGAGCACTCGGGGAACTTGAGCCAAAAACACAATTTGACCAACCTTAATGTTCTCCGTTTACAGACCTGTGGCTCGAGAATGATTCACAACAAAAACCGTACCTGTTGGTTGCTCAGGGTTCGGAACTTCTAAAGTGATCTGCCCACTCCTGCGACACCTTTTTTGGTCCTTTTTGCATTTCCCAAAAACATGGCGTGTCCTCAAAGTGTGGAGCAACACCGCTATTTTCCAGAACTATGCTGCGAAGCCAGGTGACCAAGGACACGAAGTTGCTTTGGACTGCCACTGGCAGCCATACGAAGGAGAGCTAGCGGGGCGCAGGCCTACGAACTACTCTTATCCGTGGTCTCCGCGACACAGGATCCCCAACCATGCATGTTCCACAATCCGTCATGAACGCAACCATCCCATGAACGCAACCATACTCCCCCCCCCCAATATCGGCCCCCTCCACCCTGCGTCAGTGACTCTGCCAAATGGCTTTTTCTGCAAAATTGCCAAACCGTGCACAGGCGACCTGTGACGTTACCAGCAACTAGAAAGCCTCCGTCCAAATCATTGAACGGCTAAACTCCACCAAACAACAGCAAGAACCAGACTCAGTTTCAAGCAAAATCACATCTAGATAAGGCTTAGTTCAACACTCCCAGACCACATTGCTACAAGAACCCCTGACAAGCTTGCTCGAAGCAAATAACATCTAAATAAGGCTTCTTTTTAAATACCTTAAGTAAGCCATGAATAAGTCTGTTTTAGAGGTTAATTAGAGGCCAATGGTCAACAACATGTCCCTTAAATAAGGCTTATTCATGGTCTCCGTCGTTTCTTAAAGCTTGACAAACCTTACGTAGCCATTTGGAGGGAGAGTGTCGGGGGGGGGGGGGGAGAGTGTAAACTTCTATGAGCCTTTTTAAGGCTCCTTCAAAGTAGTTTTCCCGTGGTGAATAAGGCTCCAGTTATCATGAACTTGTTTTTTGTCTTCAAATATGAGCCCCAATGCCACCCTTGGTTTTTGTTGGTTTTGCCGCCCTGCCCAAATACAAGCACAACAGCATGGTTGTCCAAAATGACAGAGAGCTCGAATAGCTTGATGGGGTGGGCCTTGCTGGTTTCCCAAGTTCAAGATCATAGGCAGGCAGTTGCAAATCCGACAGCACACACCATGTAAAATTACATAGACTTGTGCATGCCACTATTTAAGAGTAGCAACCGAAGCACATGTAAACAGGCCGCCAGGAATCATACTATAAGGCCGATGTACATCCCATAACCCATAGAGCAATGTATATCCCATAACCCATAGAGCAATGACCAAGTATGGCAATCCGACATCCCCCAGATGTGTGGCCCCAGCACATGTCAGAGGTCCGAGGGCTAAATGATTGGAATGGCTTGGACTGGCTGAGGCATACTTCACAAAGTTCAGCCATGAGTTTAGGATATGATAGGAGTGAACCATTACTTCTTGTCGGGCAAAGATGTAAGATGGTACCTAGGTTCTCCAGCAGAGAGGTCAGAATGAGGGTACCCTTTTTTTCTGCAGTCAATTTTAGTAGGGGAACCCTCCCGCAAAAAAAATGGTAAAAGGGAAACCTCGACCCAGTTGGGTGCGCCCACAAAAGGGTCACTCTGATTCATTTGCCCCCCGAGCAAAAAAAAAGACAAATGTGGCTACGAGAACCAATCCCAGAAAACAAGAAGAGAACACGAAGCAACCCCACCCAACATCAACAGGCACAAAACTAAAAATCGCCAGAATCACCCAACCTCAGCCGAAAAACCGACCAATTTGACCTAAGGTCATCCCAACATCCAGCAAAACACCACCCAACCTCCCACCAAAAACGCCGCTGGGTGCTCCGAACCGCCCGGGGCTTGTGCGGCCCGTCGGCATCCACGGCCTGCCGGCCGACGTGTCTACCTACGGAGTCTCCATGACCCTTTCAAGAATGGGTCATGATGCCTTGGTTGACAACTCCTTTTTGACAGGGTCATGGAGGGGGTGAGTCACAAATGGGTCATGATGCCTTGGCTTGGGCAGAGGATCCCTTGTTATAAAAAGGCTATGGAGAGATTCCAGGCATGGGTTGATGCCTTGGTTGGGCAGGCCGTTGGTTCCGTTTGTGGCCCAAAAACATGTCCCTAAATTCAGTTGGTTTACTATATATGGAAGGGACGTTGCTGGCGCCAGCTGGTTTGCTTGGACCAAAGGAAGGTCCCTGGAGTCCAGACCAAAGTGGTCAGCACATGCGGAAAAGCACTCAAAGGAAATCCCACAGTACTCTTGAGGCTGCCAGCAAACACGTAACAGTCGCTTGTTTCCAGGGGTCCATTTTGTTAGGGGGAGCCGTCAAAGATGACATTTCGCGCCGCCTTTGAAGATACCAAAAATGAGTCACCTGAGAACCCCGAACTTTTAGTTCATTCTGTAAGCAAGAAATCAAAAACGCATCATCGTAAATTATGGCACAACTTGTTCCATACTTGCAATACGGGTTTGTCTCAAAATGTTAACCCCAGTTTGGCAGAGAGAAGATAATTCAAACGCCAACTGCAAACCAATGCCCAATCAAATCATCCCAAGTCTCAACAGCTGTGGCTCCCGAACAAACCAGCATCCTAGATCCCAGTTGTGTGGGTCCACCAAAGCAGCCCAGAACGGCGGCTACGCCCGTTGGACCCGGTGGGCTCCTTATCTGATCGCTGGAGCCCCGTCTGGCTAAGTGCCGGGCCACGAAGAACTCGTAGGGCGTGGTGAGGAACTGTCGGACCTGGACAACGGGAAAACACATTGACAGCGCGCACAGGGAGAGCAAGTAGATGGACTGCCTTTTGAGCCCTTTTGGAGGGGATACAAAAGCCTCGCAAAACACGTGCTTCAAGAAGCCTTGGTTATAGTGCATCGATAGAGAGAGTCGCTAAAGCTCAGCGCACGTGGTCCGCATCGGAAAAGCTGTCGTGCAGCACCTATGTTACAAGCTACTGCTTCCAGCGAGCTACGCGCTTTACACAGAGCCAGCAAAGCCAATCACACTGCCATCTGCTGAGCTTCCCGTGGCAAGCAAAGTGCAGCCTAGGTCAATCTGTCCGCCGTAGTCTGGACGCGCTATAGACCCAGCTTCCAGGAAGAGAGCTCAGCATATACCAGGAGTCTCTATGACTCTATGACCCTTTAAAAATGGGCCAATGACCCTCTAAAAATGGGTCAATGACCCCATTATTTTGGGTCATGACCAACCATTGTTTAAGGGCCATGGAGACTCCAGGTATGGCTGCTCAGGCAATTGGAAGGTCCGGGTAGCAATCCCACGCAGGCTGCGTTCGTTTGGAGGCCGCGCCAGTCCATGTAGCTCACCCTGCGTCTGCAAGTTGAGCTAGTGATGTTTAGCGCGTCAGCAAGTTGAAGGTTCGTCCCCTCTTCCGTGCCATGAGAATACCCCCTGCTCCAAATACCCACTTTTGTTTAAGGGTATTTTTTGCAAAACCTGGCTTTCCATGGTAAATACCTCCTTTTTTAGTAGAGGGTCGACATCATACCCTTAAAAAAAAGGTATTGGAGTAGGGGGTATGGCAAGAAGCAAAGCTAGCGGTCAAGCCGATCGAACATCTGAATCTGAAACATGCGCTGTTCACAACGGTTCCGGAAGAAAGTAACCTACAGCTCGAGTCCTTTATCGACGAAGGGACCCCATCAAGCAGTCCCCCCGTCGCTCTTACAGAGATCCTTTCATTATACACCTGAACATTGCCTTGTAAATGGTGGTTTTTCTTATTTTGGTGGAAAAAGCCGTGTTTCAAATGGTTGCAAGATGTATCTTTTAAGGAGCCCTGTCTTACCAAACACGTGAATCGGACGTGTGCGGAGGACCCACTGGCCCGAACATTTGAGGGGGGATCGAGGCCCGGCCTCGAACCGAGGCACTGAAATGGGATCCCTTTTGGGGGACTCAGATGAGTGGATTTCCATGGGGAAGAAGAGCATGTTTTATTTTTTATTTTTGCTTGGGGGGGTTGGTTGACTTTAAAGGGGAACCGTTTCTAAGAGGGAGAATGGATTTCCATGAAGAAAAAGCAAGGATCGGGCATCCGATTCTTTTTGGTTGGTTGACTTTAAAGGGGAACCGTTCCCAAGAGGGAGAATGGACTTCCATGGAGAAAAAGCAAGGATCGGGCATCCGATTCTTTTTGGTTGGTTGACTTTAAAGGGGAACCGTTCCCAAGAGGGAGAATGGATTTCCATGGTGGAAAAAGCAAGGATCGGGCATCCGATTCTTTTTGGTTGGTTGACTTTAAAGGGGAACCGTTCCCAAGAAGGATAATGGATTTCCATGGTGGAAAAAGCAAGGATCGGGCATCCGATTCTTTTTGGTTGGTTGACTTTAAAGGGGAACCGTTCCCAAGAGGGAGAATGGATTTCCATGGTGGAAAAAGCAAGGATCGGGCATCCGATTCTTTTTGGTTGGTTGACTTTAAAGGGGAACCGTTCCCAAGAAGGATAATGGATTTCCATGGTGGAAAAAGCAAGGATCGGGCATCCGATTCTTTTTGGTTGGTTGACTTTAAAGGGGAACCGTTCCCAAGAGGGAGAATGGATTTCCATGGTGGAAAAAGCAAGGATCGGGCATCCGATTCTTTTTGGTTGGTTGACTTTAAAGGGGAACCGTTCCTGAAAAAAGGGAAACAAGGGCACCACTGGGCGACTGGAAGGACCATCTTTTTTTGACAACCCCGCCACAAGTGCATCATCCGATTCCCACTTCGTGGCTTCGGGCTGCCATGTGCCACCTGGTGGCCTCGCAAACAGAAAGCCCTGAAAGGTTTTCAACTTTAGTGAGGAACCAACCAGGGATGTGTCAATAGGCATCCTTGAGGAGTGTTTATATCAGTTTATCTGATTAAATAATACCCCCAAATTGTGGTTTAGTGGTCTAGAAAAAGGGAATACACATGTGAAATAGCCAAATTGTATCTTTGAAGTTTGGAGGATCTGTTTACGAGGCAGGCTTCAAAGGGAAGGAAACTCATATAAGTCAGCGTCCATTTGGAAGGGTCACGAGCTCGTTTCGACAAATAAGCAGATTTCCACATGTGGAAAGGGGCGCCCCTCCAGTTGGCAACTGATGACCGACTTTGCGTGATATCCATGATGACTTTTTGTCTTTGTGCACTGAGGGCGCGGCGCTTTGCGGGGGGGGGGTTGAATTCCATGATGACTATCTACTTAAAGGGAACGCCCTAAGGGTATGGCAGCGAGCAGCAAGCCAAGCACAATCCGAAACCCATTGCTGCTTGGTGCTACCAGATTGCAAAGCTTTAATTGTGGGCCCTACAAAGGCCCTAATTGCTGAAAGCAGCTCGTAATTAGAACCACCCATGGCCGATAGGAATTGGGTGTGTAGTTTCAAATACGGACCCTTTGGTCATCCTTTATACTATACCTAGAACATCCGATGTGTAAACATTTCCGAAAAAGCACTTATTTTACACACAATGGAGGTCCTAGGTATAGCAAATGTGTGTCCACCAACCACCTTTGAGCTGGACAACCCGAATTGAATTCGTAGCCAATGTGTTTTGGACAGTTCAGATCTTCCCGACCAAAACAACTGGGCTCGATCCTGCCTCGCCCTGTGGAAGCTCTATCACGGAGCTCAACGCTCCATCCTGCCAGCCGATTTTCCAACCAAGACCCCAGCTAGGTCCTCCAGTTTTGGAGGTTAGAATAGTCTATTTTTGTAGGGGAACCCTCCCCCAAAAAGTGTGAAAGGGGACTACTGGGGGGCCTAGTTTCCCAACCAAGACCCCAGTCCCACTTCCAGCCCGGTCAGTCGCCCACGTCTCCCACTCCACCCTACCCCAGAATCCATCCAGAATGCATCCTTAGTCTTTGAGACAAGCGTATGGCCGCTGGCAGACAAGTGTATGTGTCGAGTGTGAATGGACAAAATCCGCTTCGCACCACTTGGGATGGGAAACCCTAATGATGGAACACACCACAACTGGAAGGATTTGGTCCGGGCACCGCCAAGACCCGGTTCCCTTTGGCTTCCCAAAAATCAAAAGAGATCCCAGAAGCTCGAGTCCGTTTCTTTGCGACCCCGAAGAAGAGAAAGGGGGTCGTTTTTCAGGGACCCCCAAGCTGTTTGGGCCCACAAAACCAGGCAACATGGAGGTCAATAACCCAGTTTGCAATATGAGACTTACTTTTGTGCGGTGGCAGGGTCTGCAAGAAAACCCTGGAGTACAGCACAGAGTTGGCTGCCACTTTCCTTTCCATACTCCTCCTTCCAACTGTTCCCGACTGGAACCCACAAAGACGGGCGGATGTTTGCTGCTTTGGGCAGCGGCTTCCACCGCTGCGGGCTGGGCGGCAAACACATGCCATCCTACCCGTGTCCATGGACAGCTCAGGTGTCATCGCAGCTTTGCTTGGCTCACGCCGGCTTCAGTCTTACACTTGCCCTCATGGACCGAACGGTGTTTTACCAGCTTCCTGCGCGTCAAACACTTTTGCCGGAACGGGTCTTCAACCCCGAAGAGCTAAGACGATGTTCGGAAAGCTTCACAAGGAGGGGGCGAGTTCAAAACAACCATAATATACCCCCGACCTTGAGGGGGAGAGAGGGGGGTTTCCCAATTCCATGTTGAAGGGGGGATCATCAAAACTACTAGCCCGATTCACAAACACATTTCCTGCAGCGCCGCAAACGAAAACTTGTGTTCCGCAAGTGGGGCTCACCTTCATATGTTCTGTCCGATCCCCTGGACAAAGGGAGCCGTCTTTGGGGTTGACCAGTGTTACCATTCTCGGCGCCAAACAAACAGCAAGAACGAAAAAACTGAACAACTTGCTATGAACCCTTTGTTTAATCACTTGACTCTGACCGTGAAGGTCCGCCTCGCAACCTGAACAGAACGGAAGGCTCCGGTGGTATCTGATTTATTTGGGCTTGTGAGACCTACAAAAACCGGCCAGACTCCGCACCAAGCAACACAGCACGATGCATATGTGTATCCGTACATGTAAGTCCTATATACCTAGGTATTTACATCGAGCAAATCTAGATAGTCAGGTATGACGAAATATGGGGTACGTGTCAAAACCAGGAACCACCTGCGTTGGGCTCCGCCCTCCCCTCCCTTCTTTTCTTGAGGCAACCAAATGGGGACCCCCCGTTGATTTCCATTTGGCTCCCCATCTAAAGCCATTTAAACAAGGGATCCTATTTCGACACCCCCACATGTTGCCACAAGAGCTTCACCTTCCCTTTGAACATCACCCAAAAACAAAGCTTAATTGATTGAAACGGCAACCCCAAAGGTGGTGATGCTTAGCAATCCGCAAACAAAAAACATCCCCTACTCATAAGGGGTGTGGAAAATGCATATCTGCAGTTTTAAGGTCCCCCCTCGACATCCGGGAGCCAGGACATGACACAAAGCCTCCTTCAACCGCCAGAGCAGAAGGAATGAGTGCGCCTGTAAAGCTCAGCTTGGGCTGAAGGCCTACTTTTGACATCGACCCACTTAGGTGTTTTTGACCTACATCTTGGAGAGCGTTGTTGGGTATCGTTATCCAGACAAGACCACAAATGGAGCACCTGTGTGATACACCCTTGCATGCCCTCGCATGACTCAAGTGATGGCTATTTACATATGAACCTGGTCGCAAATACCTCCGCGCTCAACACCGAGCCGCTCAGCTTCGCTATCCGCTGCACGCAAGCGCTCTGCGCAGTCCTTCAAATCCGCTTACGCCCAGCGGCCGGAAGCAGATTTCGTGGTGCGACAGCAGATTTCTGGCAAAAAATCCGCTAGCGCGCTGGCAAATACGCGGCCGGTATTTGCCAGCGCGCTAGCGGATTTCAGGCTGGAAATCTGCTGCCGCGCCACGACATCTGCTTCCGGCCGCTGGGCGTAAGCGGATTTGCACTTTTTCTTAACGCGATGGCTTAGCGATGCACTAGTCCCAAGTGCAACCAAAGGGTTCGAGACGCCACCGGGATGAAGGAATCCAACAAAGTAAAGAGATGCACGAGGAGTCAGGCGGCTGTTTTTTCGCACGCGCAAAAGAACTGCAATAAAATGCTAGACTTTCAACAAAGGTGGCGCCGGGGTGGCGCCAAGGATCACATGCTCTCACATACATGCTCTCACACTTGCTTCAACATGTGACCAGACATGATGGCAAAGCAAATCTCATGTAATCTCACGAATAACGTATGATAGCGCACTATAGATTCTACGTGGGGAGAAAAATGCATACAAATAAAATGCATAAGGTACCTAGGTCCCCCAATTTTATAGAATGGGGGATCGAAAAACGCGTGGGTGCCGAATGGGTGAACCCGAAACAAGGGGACCAGCTTCCCCCATGTCCTGGTGGTATATTTCCGAGTCCCCATGCCTTTTGGCACATCAGAAGTCTACATCTCACTACTCAACCTATAAGACTTGGATTTCAGCAGAAATCAGCTACAAGGTGAGCAAGCTTTCCCGTTTTTTTCCCCTATGTGTTTCTTTTGTTTTCTTTCTTCTTTTTCTTTTTCGCAAAATGGAAAACACATGTTTGCTCCCTTTTTTCTCTGATGTCATGGCCGCTGCTCATGGCCGGTTCCCTCCGAAACCGCCGAAAATCGCCGAAGATCGCCTCAAAGGCGTAGATGTGGCCGTTGGCGCACACCGCGAAGCCTTCGGCGCCAACCTCGGCGCGCGCGGTCCGCGGCTCCCATCGCGGCTCGATCCCATCTGTGGATTTTAGGCTAGGTGCCTGGGCTATGGTTGAAACAAGTCTAGGTCCATTTTTGGAGCTTAGAATAAGTTGGTACCAACTTTCTTTCCCGAAAGCATCGCGAAGGGTTCTTCCGTGCGGAGCCCTTGGACAAGTTACACAGAGCCAAGTTACATAGAGCCAAGTTACATAGAGCCAAGTTCCATAGAGCCAAGTTACATAGAGCCAAGTTGCCCAGAGCCAAGTTGCCCAGAGCCAAGTTGCACAGAGCCAAGTTACACAGAGCCAAGTCACATAGAGCCAAGTTACATAGAGCCAAGTTACAAAGAGCCAAGTTACATAGAGCCAAGTTAGAGCCAAGTTGCACAGAGCCAAGTTACACAGAGCCAAGTTACATAGAGCCAAGTTCCATAGAGCCAAGTTCCATAGAGCCAAGTTACATAGAGCCAAGTTACATAGAGCCAAGTTACATAGAGCCAAGTTACATAGAGCCAAGTTACATAGAGCCAAGTTACATAGAGCCAAGTTACATAGAGCCAAGTTACATAGAAGTTACATAGAGCCAAGTTACATAGAGCCAAGTTACATAGAGCCAAGTTACATAGAGCCAAGTTACATAGAGCCAAGTTACATAGAGCCAAGTGGCACAGAGCCAAGTGACACAGAGCCAGGTGGCACAGAGCCAAGGTTAGGTAGAGCTTGCGTAGAGCTTCGGCGTTAGCAGCTATGTAAGTTAGTTTAGGTTTCTAAGGCGCCGGGGCGGGAGTTTGATCGTCGCTCGGGATTGCGACCCTCTGCGGAGATTCGCGCGGTCGAGGTTAAAAAACTGGGGACTTTTTACGATTTCTGCGGTGCGCGCGCAACCCTCTGCGAAAATTCGCGTGGTCGAGGTTCAAAATTTGAGGACTTTTTACGATTTCTGCGGTGCGCGCGCTACCCTCTGCGAAAATGCGCGTGGTCGAGGTTCAAAAACTGAGGGCTTTTTACGATTTCGGCGGTGCGCGCGACCTCGCGTGGTCGAGGCTCAAAAACTGCGGACTTTTTACGATTTCTGCGGGCCGTGAGCGACCCTCTGCGGAGATTCGCGTGGTCGAGGTTAAAAAACTGAGGACTTTTAACGATTTCTGCGGTCCGCGCGACCCTCTGCGGAGATCGTGCGCGTCGAAGCGCTCTCGCTGTGGCGCCGTGCGAATTTGTCTTAGTCTCGGCGACCCCCTGCGGAGATTGTGCGTGTCGAAGCGCTCTCGCTGTGGCGTTTTCTTGCCCGCGAAACGGCCTCTGGAAGTTGTCTCGTGGTTTGCGCGCCTGCTTTCGCAATCCCGCGGTCGCGGGTTCGATTCCCCCCTGGTCGCTTGCACGGAGCAACTGGCGCAGAGCACTTGCGCAAAGCAACTTGCTCAGAGCACTTGCGCAGAGCAACTTGCACAGAGCACATGCGCAAAGCGCTTGCGCGGAGCAACTGGCGCAGAGCAACTTGCACAGACCAACTTGCACAAAGCACATGCGCAAAGCGCTTGCGCGGAGCAACTGGCGCAGAGCACTTGCGCAGAGCAACTTGCTCAGAGCACTTGCGCAGAGCAACTTGCACAGAGCACTTGCGTGCAGCAGCGTGCAGCAGCTTGCAGAGAGCAACTTGCGCGCAGCAGCCTGGAACAATGCAGCTTGCGCAGACCACTTTCGTGAGAAATCGCGCGGCGCAATTCGAGAGGAAAGTAGGATGATGAGATGGAGCTCTCATGTGACCATACACACTGAGCATCGCCGCGCGCAGACACGCTCGCCGCAGCGATGTAAAAAGGTGTCTCCGCGGCTGGATGAGCGCCTGTGGAAAAATGCTTTCGGGCCAATCGTCCTCTAGTTTTTTTCGGTTTTGTCTATTTTAGTAGGGGGGTTTCCTCCCAACCAAAAAGGGGAAAAGGACACTAGTGGGGGATCTAGAAGTGTCCTGTGAAGGGACTTGTTCACCCATTTCCCCAGAGTCATGAGCAAGATCTCGCATAGGAGTCTACTCAAGGTGAGTCGCAAGAGCAGCCGCGCCTGTTTCTGGCCGGGAGGGTGCCTAAATGTGCCGTAACCTTCACTCAAATCCGACCCTTGCCATCTGTGGGTCCCCCAGCGCGAAGGCTGTGGACGGTAACAAGAAGCTGCTTCAACAGCAGAGAACTATCATGATAAGGCAGCAGCATGGCAAGATGTGCCAAACACATCCAAGTCACATGCAACACACACGCAAAGAACACACTCAAGCATGTGCAAACACACAACATGGGCACACATGCAAAAACAACGCAAGCACCGTGGTAGAAGGCATGGCCGCCTGTCCGGCACCTGCCTGTTGCCTTTGTTGCTGCATCTGCTTTACATGGGTTGCATCTCTGTGCTGCCTGCTTCAGGCTTGCCATCTGTTGCCTTTCATTGGCCATGTTGCCTGGCCTTTGCTGTCAAACGTGCGGTATTCAACCAACATATTTGACGCGCAAGCCGGCGGACCGAAGTGTTTGATTGGCGTCATGGGGATGGTGCGACCACTCATTGCAGATCAACAGGCCCAAAGCCCTCCACACCAACACCTGCCTGGACCTTCATTGCTGCCCAATTAAAATTGTGTCACACACACACACAAAACATGCTTGGGCCAACGATTGTTTCCCAATGATCCAAGAAGCGCGCTCGTTCCCCCCCAAAAAAAGAAGAAGCTCGTGTCATGAACACGGGCGTCTTGCTAAACACCAATTGCATGTTGCATGTGTGCGCTCGTTGTGCGGGTATTTGCGCTCGTTTTGCGGGTATTTGTGCCCGTCTTGCGGGTATGTTTCCACGTGTTTCCACGCAACAGACTCTATGAGAAGACAGAAGTCGCCGCAATAGCCCAAAATACTCGACTCTAAATTTGCGCCCGCTCTCCTGAAAAATGCGCGATTCGCAAATCTCTGCCTACGAAACACCCAAATGGCCAAGGGGCCAGAGGCACAAATTTATGCAACGAACGAAGGTCCAGCGAGCCATGATCAGGCGCGCAAGTTACCCAACACGCAAGCCAGTGTTTGATGTCATGTGTTCCTTTCCTTTTTTGGCCCCAAACAAACGGGTCAGCAGAACCCGGGTCCCCATCGGACCATTCTCCTCTTAACGGGACCTGGTGGCTTGCATGTTTTGGGTTGGAGGTCAATCACAGGCCATGTGCAATGAAGTGACTTGTAGGTCACCAAACTCAAGGAGTAAAGAAGAACTTGCGTGTTCGATAGGCAGGGAATGAGGGAATGCCCCTACAACATGGGTTATTCCCTACTGAGCACCAGCAAGTTAACGACTCCTTGTCTCCGTGGTTGACACGACCCCGCTCATACCTACGCCATGCTGTCGAAATAAACCAGTTGCACTACGCAAGCCCTCCTCAACAGGCAGACCGAATTGTGCCAATAGTTACCTTGGGGAATGACCACTGGTTCAAGGCTCCAAAAGCTGTGTGATACCTCAAACGCAGGGATCCGTCAGAATTCAGAGTCTATGCAAACACACAAGCTTGGCTGCAGGGAGAAGGCTCGGAGACTTGCTACATGGGTGTTGGTATGTGTGCGTGTGCATGTGTGTGTGTGTGTGGTGCATGTGCATGTGCAAGTGCATGTGCATGTGCAAGTGCATGTGCATGTGCATGTGCGTGTGCGTGTGGGTGTGGGTGCACGTGCGCGTGCGCGTGTGTGCGCGCGCATGCGTGCGTGCGTGCGTGAGTGCGTGCGTGAGTGCGTGCGTTGGCGGGCGGGCGGCGGGCGGGCGGCGGGGGGCGGGCGGGCGGGCGGGCGGGCGGGCGGGGGGCGGGAGGGAGGGAGGAGGGAGGGAGGGAGTGAGGGAGGGAGTAGTGAGTGAGTGAGGAGTGAGTGAGTGAGTGTTGTGTGTGTGTGTGTTGTGTGTGTGTGGTGTGCGTGCGTGCGTGCGTGTGTGTGCGTGCGTGCGTGCGTGCGTGCGTGCGTGCGTGCGTGCGTGCGTGCGTGCGTGCGTGCGTGCGTGCGTGCGTGCGTGCGTGCGTGCGTGCGTGCCGTGCGTGCGTGCGTGCGTGCGTGCGTGCGTGCGTGCGTGCGTGCGTGCGTGCGTGCGTGTGTGTGTGTGTGTGTGTGTGTGTGTGTGTGTGTGTGTGTGTGTGTGTGTGTGTGTGTGTGTGTGTGTGTGTGTGTGTGTGTGAAGCGTCCTGGAGCACGGACGGAAATTCCACATTGCAGGGGGACCAGGCGTCTTGCTGCTGACCTGGTCTAACAAAGCTAGGCAGCAAGACGGGATACCGGAATTGGCCATTCCGGCGTACCTGCCATCCTTTCGTGACCTAATGTGTTTCCTCGGTTTACCACTGTTTGCTTCATGTTCGGTTTCGATGATGTGACATTTGCACTGCAGATTGATTTTTTCATGCCCTTTCAGTACAATCGCGTGTCTGCAAGAGCAGCCTCTCGAGATAAGTGTGTTTACCCACGGCCTGTCCGACATGGCGCTGTGGGCTGGACTCGCCACATGCGGGAGCCCCCTGCGAGGGGAAGACCGTTCATACGTTCAAATTCAACCTGCCGTTCAGCGCGCTTGACCACGATCAAGGCTGCAGCTTGAGGTCTTAAGGTATTCCGCACCCAAATGGTGCTCTGCTGGTTTCATGCGCGTTGCACTGCCTGCACTGCCTGCCTTTGAAGCAAGGCTGCACCCACGAGGTTTCAGGTTCCTAAGCTTCATGCGCCAGTGACGAGTTGGTCATACACCAACTCTGCAATTCGTGGTGTTTATGGAAGCTTTCGTCTCGGATGAGTTCAGTTCAGATTCATCGGCATAGCCACATGAGGCACTTTCATGAGGCCACTTGACAGGCACCTCTGAGAACCCCTTTGTGCTCGCATGCATTTGCACCATTGACGCATTTTTGCTCGCATGCATTTGCACCATTGACGCATTTTTGCCGCAGTTGTGGTTTTGTTTCACCCCTTTCCAACCTTCTC